CACCTCCCCCGTTGCTGAGGCTGACTTTGAACTCCTTCGGCCTCAGTTCCTCCAGCCCCTGGGATTACAGGTGTGTGCCAYAGCGCCAAGCTTTGTTTTAACTTCCATTTTTTTAAATATATTTTTAAAAAATTGTAGTTGGACACAATACCTTTATTTTATTTATTTTTATGTGGTGCTGATTATCGAACCCAGTGCCTCATGCATGCTAGGCAAGCTCTCTGCCACTAAGCTACAGCCCCAGCCCTCCATTTTTTTTTTAATTGCAGTTCTATGCCTGTATGTGAGATTAAACCCTGTGGCCTCCAGATACAACATTCAAAAGCATACAGAATAAAACATTTCCTATAAGATGAATCATCTATGGAAAGATCATAAGTTTGAGTTATTCACCGCCCCCCGCCAAATTTTTTCTTTTTGTATTAGTCCTAACTGCTATTTGAAATTAGTCATTATTATTTGCAAAAACAGTGAGGTATAAGATTTCCTGCACTCAGAAAAATTCTCAAAGATCAACTATTTACAATCATAAAAATAACCAGCTATTTAAAAAGCAATCTGGGGGGGCTGGGGATGTGGCTCAAGCGGTAGCGCGCTCGCCTGGCATGCGTGCGGCCCAGGTTTGATCCTCAGCACTACATACAAACAAAGATGTTGTGTCCGCCGAAAACTAAAAAAAAAAAATAAATATTAAAATTCTCTCTCTCTCTCTCTCTCTCTCTCTCTCTCTCTCTCTTAAAAAAAAAAAAAAAAAAGATGTTTACAATCTACAAAGCTTAAGGATCCCCAACAAACCTCAAGCGCAATGTATAACTACTGGAATGCAAATCACACCTAGGCTCCTCACCATTAAACCAGAGAAGGCAGTGGAAAGATGGCAGCCCCTCCACAATTGGCAGTCTTAACCAATTGCAATTAAAATATTAAAAATAAAAATAAAAATAAAAAGCAATCTGTAATTTTGAGGTGTTTGGGGCTGGAGCTGTGGCTCAGTGGTAGAGCTCCTACCATGTAAATAAATGGAATTGTGTCCATCTACAACTTAAAAAAATTTTTTTTTTAATCTTGTTTTAGGGCAGAGTTCGCTGGTGCACTCCTGTAATCCCAGCGGCTTGGGAGGTGAAGGCAGAGCCAGAGGCGGAGGCAGGGGGATCTAGAGTTCTAAACCAGCCTCAGTAATTTAGCAGTGAGGAAGCAACTCAGTGAGACCCTCTCTCTAATAAAATACAAAACTGGGCTAGGGATAGGGCTCAGTGGTCGAATACCTTTGAGTTCAATTCCCAATACCCCCACCAAAAAAAAACTGTTTTAGGATTGGGGATGTGGTTCAGTGGTTAAGTAGCCCTGGGTTTAAAGCCTAGTACCCCACCCCCCCACACAAAAAAAAGTTTTAGACATGAAAAGCCTGTCTTATTTACCTATATCTTTTATTGAAAGTAAACACTTGAAATATTTTCAATAAATTTATTGCTTTATAAGAGGCCTGTAATGCCAGCAACTTAGGAGGCTAAGGTAGGAGGATCCAAGTTTGAAGTCGACCACAGTCACTTAGTGAGGCTCTAAGCAGCTCTGCAAGACCATGTCTCAAAATAAAAAATAAAAAGGACTGGGGATGTAGCTCAGTTAAGCACCCTTGGATTCAGTCCCCAGTATCAAAAAAATAAAATTAAAAAAATAATAATAATAAAAAAAAAATAAGAGTCCAGTTGACTGGTTGTCTTATTACTTATAAACTAGATCAACAAAGAGATAAGTAGTTTTAAGAAATACTCAGATATTGAAAATTCTAACAGTTCATCTAGACATTATTCATTTTATTCTGACATGGAACACTTCACATACTGATTGAACAATTTTTGGCTTATAAACACTGTAATCATGAACAGTATAAAGGTTCAGGCTGAAGATGTGTTTCAGTGGGGCAGTGCTTGCCTAACAATGCACAGAAGTAAAAGTAAAGGAGGTTTCTCACCTTATTCTTTTCAGCTTCTCAGATCATACTTAGAAAGCCTTAGCTGCCTGCTACACAGTAATCAAGGTAAATAGCTACACTTAATAAAGCAATAAATTTTCTTGTTATTTTTAGTATGCCAGCACTACAGATAAAACTGTAAAACTATAACAAAAACAGGAAATAGCAATGTAATTTTTAAGTACACACCACAAGAGAATCTTTCTAACAATTCAACGACCTAAAGTGGACAAAAAAATGATAAAAGAACTAATTGCAGTGGCAAAAAGCTATCTTGGCCTGGGGATGTGGCTCAAGTGGTAGCACGCCCGCCTAGCATGTGTGAGGCACTGGGTTTGTTTCTCAGCACCCGGTAAAAATAAAATAAAGATATGTGTCCACCTAAAACTAAAAAATAAATATTTAAGAAAAAAAAAAAGCTATCTAAGCCCCACTTAATATTCAGGATTTGGAGCTTCTGATTCCCCTTAACTGACAAATGTCTATTCAGTAATTTTAATGACATTCTGGACTTTCACAGTAATGCTGAATATGAAACCACCATTAATTAGTCTGTGCTTTGTACATTAGAGCAACATAACATCCTACTGAGATAACATCAAATAATATCTAATACTTCTTCCCTTTTTTTTTTTTTTGGTGGTGCTGGGGATTAAACTCAGGACCTTGTGTAGATGAGGCAAACACTCTAGCAACTGAGCTATATCTCCAGTCCGCCTCCCCATTAAATTTTATATGAAAACTCTAAGCTGCACTCAGTGGCATGCACAGGCCTGTAATCCCAGAGATTGGGAAGGCTGAGGCAGGAGGACAGCAAGTTCAAAGCCAGACTCATCAATTTAGCAAGGCCCTAAGCAACATAGCAAGACCCTGTCTCTAAATAAAATATAAAAATGGGGCTGCAGATGTGGTTCAGTGGCTCAGTGGCTAAATGACCGTGACCTTAATCCCTGGTACCACAAAACAAAAACAAAAACTCTAAGGCAAACAATTCCTTAGTTTTCCCCATTTCTCATCCACAATTTAACACTGTAGCTTAAACTTCCTCCAAATGTATCCTATCTAGTCTTTGGGGATAATTTCAAATATTTTCATCGCAAGCATTTAAAGAAATGAACAGACTAAACTGCAGACCCTTAAGTAAGATATTTCACCCTCTGCAAAGAGTTGATGAGTTTCCTAAAGTTCTTGTCCTACCCTCTTACAATTTCATCTTTTGAGTGAAAACGAAGAAAAACACCCAATGAGATGTACACTGAGCCGTGAGTGATCCCAGGTCAGCCTGATTCTCTGCCAGAAAAGGCCAGATAAGATTTACTCTTCTTGTTGTTGTATAAGTTTCTCTCTCTCTTATCCTCTCAATCAATCTTCCTGTACATGATTATACTATTGTAATTTGTCAGTAGTTACAATACTTCACTTTCAAAGGAATGCCTTCCCCACTTGGTGACTACTCTTTAAAGATACTTGGACACTTCACATTTCTCAATTCCATGACCAACTATAAACCTCGCTCACCGGAGGAGGTAAAGTTCCTAGGAGACCACAAGACCCCAAAGGATTTTCTAAAATCTCTCAGATCTTCGTCCCAATCTCAAACCACATAGACATCTAAGGGTTCCCACAAACAATGAGAAACAAAAGTCCAGACTAAACGGAAAGAAGAGGAAGTATCCGAACAATACTCAAACTCAACACAGGACAGAAAACCCACAGTCTCCTCTATCATCCCACTCGGTTACCCCCACTGCCCTAGTTTAATCAAGGTCTTAAACTCGAGAAATGGCCCCTCACCGGTCATTTCTCCGCTCGACCGATGGGAAACGATCCACGAAAGTGGCAGGAAGAAAAAGCTCGCTCCGACGGGTCGGAGCCGTGATGCTTTTTCTGCCGAGTGGAAGGAGGCAAGCCAAGGGTGTGTAAAGAATGGAAAGCTGAGTGATCGGGGGGAGGGGGGAATTAGGGCGCCAGAGCTAATCCCCCGCCTKGGCGCTCGGTGGGAAGGGGCAGCAGGCGTGCTCCCTGGAGAGCTAGGCAAGCCGGGCGGCGCTGGCTTTCGGGTCAAGAGAAGGGGAGTGAGGGCTGGCAGCCCCGCCGGTGGTGGGTGGCGCCAGGCAAGGGAGGAGGCTCAGAGAGGAGCGAACGAACGTTTCGTAGGAGTGCGGGACTGGCCTTTCTCGTTGCCCGAGCCCACCGAGCTCATACCTCAAACCTGCTCTTGGTCACTCCGTTCACGTCTCTCCTCATGGGGCCGGCGGGTGCGGCCCGGGCCGGGCGCTGCGGCGTGCGGAGTGCAAACACAGGGGCCCAGGGCAGGCCCGAGAGTTCCGGGACCGGGAGCCGGCAGCGGAGGGGCAAAGCAGGGGGCGTCGGAAGGGCAGCAGAGACTTCTAGGCTACTGAGGGGCCTCCGCCACCTCCCGCGGCTACAGCGGCCGCGACGACTGCTAGTCGCTAGCTGGGCTCTCTCCTCAGCCTCAACTTCAACCCAAAACAAAAACACTCCCCACCTGCCAGCAACGCCGCTCCTCATTGGGCAGAGCCGCCCGGGCCTCGGAACGCCGGGGGAGGGGGAGGAGCTCGCGGCGGCGGTGCGAGACCACCCCTCCCCCACCACGGGCGCAGCCCCTGACGGTGCGCTCGCGAGCAACCGGAGCTCGGCGGCTGGGGTGGCTCGACCCCCTCCCGCCTCCGAGGCAGGCCAGCCCACCGGGAGAAGGCGAGGCAGGGAAGTGCCTAAGTGTCTATGTGTTTGTGTAGGGGGGTTGTGGGGCGGGAGCGAGTGCGCGCGAGCTCGTGGACTCGTGAAGGAGAGGAAAGCAGGAGGACAGCACACCGCACCGGAGCCCCCTTTTGGCCCAGAACCCTTCTCCTCCCCTCCGCGGGCAAACAGGCACGCACCTACCCACAGAGAACCTGAGCTTTCGGCCTAGTCCTCTCAAACCCTTGTCTTGTCACTAACTCCCCTGTACCCGGGGTTGGCTCACACATCATTTCTGACCACCCAACTCCCATCCTCTATCACTCACTGTCGCCTTGAACCCAAAGTGCAGGAGGCGGTCCCTGCTTGGAGCCATTTTCCTCCTCTTTTTGGATGTCTCTAGATTGGGGCAGTAATGCCGTCGCCGCCGCCGTCGTCGCCGCTGCCGTAGTTGCCGCTGCCGCTGCCGCTGCCGCTGCCGCCGCCTTCCCCGCCCCAGTGGATTTCATTACGGGGTGCTGCAGGGAGGCCTAGGGGTCCGCTGCGGGGCGGGTGTATCCCAGTGCATGGCTCGGAAAGGCTGGGCCTAATTAGGCTCAGGGGGAGGCCGAGTGCCCGGTTTTGCTGCGGGGGTGGCCGCGAGGCCACACCTCAGGCCTGAGGGTCAGAGGGTGCCGGGCTAGAGCTGGGCTACCATTCCTCCGGCAGGGGGAGGGGCGCGCATCAGTGGGATAGGGGCGGACTAGGCAAAAGTGCCTTTGGCTTCCCCGCCCCTCCGGAGCTGCTGGCGCCCAATGGGCTTTAGTGCCTGTCCGCCCTCCAATCAGGGCACTGGTTGGTGAGAACCTGAGACTGACGCAACTTTGGCGGGAGAAACAAGCGTGTAAGAGCGAGTAGGCGGGAGCATTTGCCCTGTAGAAACTGACTTTCGTCACTCTTGGGCGACTGGTGTAGAAGTTGGTCATGTCATCATACCTCTGTATTTTRACAACTAGGGACTTCTAGGTGCTGGAATTTGTGACTGATTCCCATGAACTGAGGCTCTATTAAAAGTTGAGTTGCCCCTTCCAAAGAAACTAAAGAATAATATACCAAACATTAAATATTATAAACTGTATGAAACCCCAGCAGTCCTTGCAGAAGCAGCAGTACTGCTTATAATTCTTACACTCCCAAAGCAGTTACGAGTTTGTCTTCACACCCCTTTTAATTAGTGGTTTTAGTGACTGTCAGGCTTGTTATGAATCCCATTAAGAAATGAACATTTAAGAGGACCAAGCACTGCACATCGTTAAGGATAAGCATATTTTAGCTGGCTTCTTACCCAACTCTTAAAGCACTTTAATAACCTTTCCTTTATATCCTAATAAGCAAGGAACCCTAGCTTCAGAAAACTCTCAGGTCCACAAACCAAGATCTACATGTTATATTTCCTTTCTAGTCTCAGACACTTTCAATGTTTCTACTTCACTTCCACCAGTGTAATAAAACAGCCTTTAAATTTAGTCACATCTAAGAGCTAYTTTCTCCCACATGACTAATCCATGTGGTGAGTAACAACTGCAAAAGGCAGAAAAACTGACACCCAGAGACAAAAAAAAAATCTTGTCCGATGTATCCATGCCTGTGGACCCATGTAGGGTACTTAGGGAAGACATTACTTTTTGACTTGTTTCAATATTTTTTGAGAAGCTGAACTGAAGATTATATAAAAATTAAAATATTAGACATAAATAGGTGGGCTGAGGTTGTGGGCACTTGCATCGCAGGTGAGGCACTAGGTTCAATCCTCAACACACATTAAATTAACTAAAGGTTAAAAAGTGCAAAAAATTACACATAGGCATATGACTTTTTATCAAAGAATTTTATTTGCATGTAAATAAACAGGTTTTTTGTAACGTTTTAGGGGGGAAAATCCCACAAATTGTGTCTACTTTCAAAAAATGAAAAACCCCAAAGTATTTACAGAACGGCCATACACACAGAAAATCAAATTTGAAAGATTTTCTTTTAAAAAGGCCCTCCCCACTGCTCCTGATGTACATTTTTTAACTCAAAATTTAAAACTCAGCACTTACAGTTGAGCATCTTTCCCAACATAGTTTCTCAGATATTAAATACTTTCTGCCCCCTCCAGAAACAAACTCCAGGATAGAAATAAATGGGGGGGCAGAAGAGAAATGAGGAAAATTTCTGAAAACAAGATTACTTAAGGATTGTGAATGCTTCCTATACTGACATCTGCTTTAAGTGACTCAACTGTGGATACTGTATGACTCAGTGGCTCCCTGAAAGACTTTCTTCTGAAAATTCATGATATTGCTGCCCTAGATTTTCAGACCTAGGCCTGAAAAAGGAAAATTCTTTTCAAGAGTCACCAACCTCAAGCCTGGTTTTGGCAAATTATATCCTGCTTGCTCTCCACACCCCTTCAAAAAATACTTGTTTTAAGACACTGGATTTTAATTTGAAATCTTCATGTACATCAGAGCAGATTTTGACCAAGAACCCCCAATATGAAGCCAAAAGACAGAAGAGGAATCAGGTCAAACTGAGAATACATAAGACACCAGCAGCAGAAGAAAGGTAGAAGTTGACTTCATGTCCTTGCCGTCTTTTGAAACAGGAGAATGAGTACACCTAGACGGGAGGGAGGTGTCCCAGGCTTGGTTTATTCTGCCTCTTCTCCTCCACCCTGTGGAGAAATGCAGTGTTCCCTGGTTCTCAGGCAGGGTGAAGCAGTTTAGCCCCGGCTCCCTGTTAAGCAAGTTCAGATGCTGGGTCAGTGTGTGGGGTGTGCCCATCGACAATTCAGGGGCTTATCCTTCATCCAGATCCTAACTCGGGATTCTTTGATCTGGGATGAAGACAGAAAGAGAGAAAAAGCTTCCCAGTTTACTCATTTTGATATTTGTTGGCTCTGCTTGGGGAGCTGAGCCCCTGATACTATGCAGTACATTCCCCACAAAATTTTCCCCACCCAAAACAAACTTAAAAACCATGTAACTTTTTACTTTTCCTGCAGAAACCAACGGGATAGGATTCAAACCTAGGTGACAAACTTTTGAGAAATCCAACCTGTTGTATGTCTGAGAGGCTGCTACTGTATCAGCATCACAAGATAAAGCACTCTGGTATCACCTTGCCCATGTCCTTCTTAGTGTCACCCAAGACATTTGACTCTGATATGGTAACCGATAACTTTTCTTGTTCCACTTTGCAATGTTTCATTTCCTACTTCTTATTACGTTGGGACTTGTACAAAAGTGGCAGAGTTGTTGAGAGCTGATGACCAGTAAAGGGAGAACACTAGAGGAAATGAGAGACAGTCAGGAAAGAAAGCCAAAGCAGATTTTCCAATCCTATGCTAAATCCAATCTGCATAAAGAGATGAATATAGAAATCTTCTTCCGTATCTGATGAAGTCACTCCACTTATGACACACAAACGCACATGAATCACCTAGCTTTTTTTTTTTTTTTTAAATCCAGAAGTGTTGTGCTGGGGATTATGCCTGCCCCGCTGATACAGATCCTGAATGGAATCATCAGGAATGGCACAGTGCAAGGTGTCAAAATCAAAGTAAGGCCGCAGAATTTTGAGAGAACCCTCCAAATACTGAGAACTTCTGTTGTACTCAAAATGGTCTCCTGGATTTCTATATTTGTGAGAAGGGCTTCTTATTGATGTCCCCCAGAATCCAGATTCAGACCTGTTTCTCCAAAAAGGTCCAATTGTGTTGCTACATAGTAGCAAGGGTTTATCTTCATGCTCACCTAGCATTCCAGGCCCCCATTATTCAAGTGAGCTTGAAATTGTTTTAAGTGAACTATGGCTGCAAAATTTTCACTGTCTTATCTCAGGGAGCATACAGTGGAGTGGTTAAAGTCTGAACTCCTCCTTGTGATGAAGAGAAACAAAGAGCCCAGCTCTTAGGAATGGCATCAGTTCTCCTGCAAACAAAATGCTGGAATGCGGACTTTTGGCACATTGTGGAAACAGGAGAACTATTAATTCTATAATGATTTTCATGCCAGTGGGTCAGGAAGGCTATCCCACATTATACCTTACTGCATCTGAAAACATGTTTACATCCCCAAAAGCCACCCTAAGTTTATTTTTTTAAGGAAAAAGATAAATCATTACTTCCATAGGGAGATAACTCCTAATATTCCTATGATGCTTGAACCCTATGAAAAACCTCCTAAAATGAAAATGTCATTTTGGTTTTTCTACTTAACTCCAAAGACAGGCTCTGACTTATAAGTCTGCTTGGGCTTAATGCTAAAGTATCAGCAAAGCTACAAGCTCTCTACCATGAAATAAGCCTTCCTCTTTCACCTCCCATCATTTTGAACCCTGAACCTCATAGAGTTAGAAAGAAACACTGTATAAAAACAAAGGGTTAAAATATTACAAATAAATAGCTAAAATCATCTTCCCTCTCCCAATCACTCCTAAGAAACAGACACCAAACATTGCTTAAGTGTCCAAAATGACCCAAGTCCTTCATTTGCCCATGCCTCAAATGGACAACTACCCAAAGGTGAACAACCTTCATGCAAATGCATCAAGGAATGTATTGCTTTTTCATTTTCTGCCCAGCCCTTCAAATTCATGCACTAAAGTGAGTTTAAAACATGGCCTAAAAATGGAAAAAGGGAGAAAAAATATATATGAATATTTCCCAAAAAACTGTTTTCCCACCCTTCCATCTCCTTACATCCCTCCCTCCCCCTCCCTTTTGTAAGCACATATTTTTAACATTTTCTTTCTGGTAAAAGAATAAGGAATTCTTGATAACCAGAATCAAACCCTGTGGTCTCTTTAGTTGGGTCTGGATATACCTTTCTGAATTTACCCAGCTTGGTGTCAAAGCTATGACTTTTAGGATTCTTAAATCAGACCTGTCTGACTCACCCCTTGTGTTGGTTTACATATAAACTTATCATTAGTTTCTTCTCTGGCTACATTTGTTTAGAAACCTAGGTTCCTAATTGCCAATCAGAGCCACATCCATTAGATCATCATCTTCCTCCCCAATCATAAAGTCAGGGCTGAGCCTTGAGGGCCTATCTGCAGATAAGATTGTGTTACTTGTCATAGACAAGGACTGGTCTGAAGAGATAGGTGATTTAGACCAACTCTCTGGCTTGATGCTATGAGATTTTTTCTTGTCTCTGTCTCTGTCTTTGTCCCGGTCTCTATCTTTGTCTTTTACTTTCTTTTTTTCCTTTTTGTGCTTCTTATGCTTCTCTGTGCTATATTCTGGAAGTGGTCGGATACCATCATCTGAGCTAGGGCTGTTCTGGTAAGATTTCTCTGCTATGGAGGAGCCTGACTCGCTTTCACTGTCCAGATTTTGGGGAGTATATGCTGGTGACTTACTATGGCTGGGAGAACCACGTTCATGCTTTGGAGTGGAGCCACTGATCAGTGGAGAGCCATAGTTTTTAGAAGAGGCCATTTGCGGTCTGAGGCCTTCTCCACTACTTTCCCCAGGTTTCTGCAAAGTCACTTTGGCTTTAATGCTGGGGGAGCCACCATCATGCTTGCTGATAATAATTTTTGCCACACCTGTACTCCCCACATTTTTTGACTCTGAGGTCTTCTTAGAAGAATCCACTGAACCCCCAGAAGTAGAAAGCTTTGATTTGTCTTTATCACTTTTCTCACGTTTG